TCATTGTTTGTGCATAACACCCAGTGCTCCATGCAGAATGTGCCCTCCTCAATACCCACCACCAGGCTAACCCATCCTCCCACCCCCCTCCCCTGAGCTATTTTTTGTTGATGAGAGTTGGAGCTAAAATACCACGGAGGGAATGTTGGCTAGCTAATCATGATCCCTATATCCTTTCATAAGGGGGTCACATCTGAGGGTAAAAGGCAAAGGTCCTAGGAGCCCAGAGAAAGATATTAGAGCAAAAGAAGAGAGAACGTGCCTCTAATACCTATACATTCTATTCCTGTCTCAGGCATGGTGGTTTTCTGGAACCTTCCGACTAACTCACCCCTGCAGCGGATACGGCTCTCTGACGGCTCCTTGAAGCTCTACCCCTTCCAGTGTTTCCTAGCCCATGACCAGGCTGTGCGTACCCTTCAGTGGTGCAAAGCGAACAGGTACAGGACAGGAGAGCTGTGGGGTGGGAGGTGAGGCCCGGGAAGGCCGGTGCTCGAGACTTGCTCAGATTTGATCTTCTCCCTCTTATACCCTCTTTCCACAGTCATTTCCTCGTCTCTGCGGGGAGTGACCGCAAAATAAAATTCTGGGACCTTCGACGACCGTATGAACCCATAAACTCTATCAAGCGCTTCTTGAGTACAGAGCTGGCCTGGCTGCTTCCCTACAATGGTGTCACTGTGGCTCAGGACAACTGCTATGCCTCGTACGGCAGGATGCAGATGGGAGGAGCTCTAGGGACAGGCCCTAAGGGTTGGGGTGCAAAGTTGCCAGATAGTGTGGGGTGAGGAGGGGTGAGAGTTGTTTCATTGAGGTAATTTGAATTCTGGAAGGAACTGGGAAAGGGAAATGAATGCTGTTTTGGAGAAAAGAAAGTTTTATTTTGTCTTTCTCTTACAGTTACGGACTTTGTGGGATTCATTATATTGATGCTGGTTACCTTGGTTTCAAGGCCTATTTCACTGCTCCTCGAAAAGGCACTGTCTGGGTGAGCCCGTCTTTGTTACACAGGAAAACGATTCCTTTACTCACCTCCTGGTGGTTGGGAAGAGGCAGTAGTTTTGCATAGAAGTAGATAGATGTATGGTAACTATCATCAGGGATAAATGTTAGGATAAACTCTTTTTTTTTTTTTATTTAAATTCAACTAATTAACATAAAATGTATTATTAGTTTCAGAGGTAGGGTTCAGTGATTCATCAGTTTTATATAACACCCAGTGCTCATTACATTATGTGCCCTCCTTAATGTCCATCCCCCAGTGACCCCATCCCTCCATCCGATAAACTTATTTTTGTTTTTCTGTGTGTCTTCCACTTCAGACTGTGCGGCTGTTTCCAGCTCACAGAACGGAAACAGTATGAGTGAATGAATGAATGAAAGAAATCTGTCTCTTCTTATTAGAGTCTTTCAGGATCCGACTGGCTTGGGACAATAGCCGCAGGAGATATATCCGGGGAGCTCATTGCAGCCATACTGCCTGATATGGCACTGAACCCAATAAATGTCAAGCGACCTGTAGAGAGAAGATTCGTACGTATATGAATATTTAATGGTAGCACCATCTGTTGGGTCCTAATCCACATGACCCCCTAAGTTAGAACTGTAAATTTGGATTAGGTCTCCCAGACCTGATATTGTCCCTGGAAGTCTTAGCACAAAGTTGTACATCATCTTCCCTACCCTAGTGCATCTGTGCATGTGTTTAAACATACTACCTTCTTCTGTCTTTAAGTCTTTCTTGCCCAAAACCAATTTTCTCTCTCTCCTTTTTTTTTTTTTTTTTAAGTAGGCTCCATGCCCAGCGTGGAGCCCAACGCAGGGCTTGAACTCACGACCCTGAGATCAAGACCTGAGCTGAGATCAAGAGTCGGACGCTTAACCGACTGAGCCACCCAGGCGCCCCATCAATTTTCTCTTTTATTCTGTCTCCAGTATTATAGGACCTAATCTCATGGTCTCCTTTCTAGCCTATATATAAAGCAGATCTGATGCCGTATCAGGACAGCCCTGAAGGTCGAGACCATTCTTCTACTTCATCTGAGGCCCCCAACCCTCCCAAAGCTCGAACTTACGCTGAAACTGTCAACCATCACTACTTGCTCTTTCAAGACACAGATTTGGTAAATTGAGGCCAGGAGAATGGGTGTGGCATTTTAAAAAAGAAAATTTTAGTCCTGGTACAGTAGGGCATTGTAAGGAGTTGCAGCACAAAGATGCAAGACTGAGAAGCTGGCTTTCTCCCTCCTCCCCAGGGTTCCTTCCACGATCTCCTCCATAGGGAGCCAATGCTGCGCATGCAGGAAGGAGAGGGGCATTCGCAGCTCTGCCTGGACCGGCTGCAGCTAGAGGCTATTCACAAGGTAAAAACCTTGTCTCTCATCTTCTCCACCCTTCTTCACTCTCATTTCCTCCCAGCTCTGAAGCTACGATCAACGAAACGGGGGATGAAAAGGTAGCAGAGGGAAGGAAGGAAGACCGCTCTGGCAACCTGATCCTCCAGAGCATGATAGACCTACCTCTTTCCTGCCTCTCTCACCCCATCATGGTCCTATCCTTTCAGATTGTTGCCCTTTTTCTCCCCTTCTTACAACTAGGATTCACCCTAAAGCACCAACTGTGAACATCTCTCTTGCTTTCAATTCTCTTCTCAGGTCCGCTTCAGCCCAAACCTGGATTCCTATGGATGGCTGGTATCTGGGGGACAGTCTGGGCTGGTTCGGATCCATTTTGTCCGTGGACTCACCTCACCCCTGGGCCACCGTATGCAGCTTGAGAGTCGAGCCCACTTCAGTGCTATGTTCCAGCCGTCCTCCCCAATTAAAGGGCCTGGCTTCCCTCCAACCAGCCATCGCCTTTTGCCCGGTCCCTAGTCGTGGTCCACACAGGACCTTTGGAATGAAATCTGCCAGGAACAAATGGCCCCCCATGCACAGAGCCATAGGAACTGGGGTCTTCATGGATAGTGATGCTGCCAGACCTGGACCTTTAGATCTGCCTTGCCAGGACTCCTTAGATACCTCTCCTTCCACAGACTTCTGTCATCACAGCCCCCTGCGGGCGGGGGGGCTATCCCTCCAGAAACTCTCAAGGCTCCTCAGCCTACAGCTATGGCTCATGAGTAACACTCAGGCCTGACCTAGGCTTGGAAGTCAAATAGCTCATATTGAGCATATTGTGAAGTGGGTAAAGCTAAGTAAAGGTACTGGGTGTTTTTGAGATCACACGTGAGTGGGTGTTTGGAGAACTGGAGAGGGTATCCGCATGAAGGCTCCTGTGTGACTATATTCCAGGATCCAGTATTACTGCCTTCTCAACTTCCTCTTTAGAGTAACCAACACACATGCCCAGGAGGGGTGATAGTAATTTATTGGACTGAAGCTGCTTACAGTACTTCTTTAACTGAGGAACACCACAAACACCCTACCAGGAGAACAGTGGCTCAGATCTTACTTGCTCCTGCTTATGAAATATTCCCAATCACTGGTCGTCTGACCCTACTTGAACACTCCTAGGCAGTCATGTTTTAAAAAAATCTTCCTTTATATCAAGTCAAAGAGTATACTTCTATAAATTTCACCATGGGTATTAGGAAATCTAGTCATTTTTCCCTGTGATTGCCTTTTTAAGTATATTTAAAAATAGCTATCATGTGTTTCCCAAGTCTTTTCTTCTGTAGATTAAATATCTTCAGTTACTTTAACCATTCTTTACACGTCATGATTTTTGGTCCTTCATGATACTGTCACGTTGTTGACTTATTAAACATGTCTAGCTACTTTATTTCAAATCTTTATATAGGAGGTGTTTAAAACCCAAGTACTGTAATGTATTGTTATATCTTCTCTTGTTAGAGTCCTCTTGCGGGATGCTGCAGACTCATAGGGAGTGCAGTACTGCCTCCTAACCAAAGACAGACCCCAGCAATGAGAAATAGGCAAACCATAGTCTTGGAGTGTATGGGAGTACAATCAAGTTTGGGGGAAGTAGTCAGATGACCTCAGAAAAGAGAGGAAAATACACAGCCAGCTCCAACTGAAGGGAGTGGAGATTAACTTAGTGCCTACCTGGAACAAAACCCACTGGCACTGTGGACTGGTTGGCCAGATACCTGGGAACAGCTTTCTGCCCCTTGGGTGTAGGGAATTTATCGTATGTCAAGAAGATAGGCATCAAGCAGTTCAGTTTCCTTCAGGTATGGAAGAGGAAATAGAACCTGGAGGCAACCAGACTATTAGCAGCAGAGGGATCACAACACACGTCGGTGCAAAGGACGCAAGTATTGTACCATCCTGTTGTGTTCAAGCTCAGGTTATGCCGGTTTTGTTTTTGAGCTGACTGATAGGGAAGTGCCTTCCATTGCAGAGAAGATTTGCTTCTCCACGGCAGGCCCTTGACATTGCATCATGGAATTCCACCTTCTGTGGCAGAAAAGATGGGACCTGGGGACCCATGCTGTTGAGGCTGTAGGTTGGTGCTGGCAGCCCTGCTCCTGCTCCTGACTCTTAGCCTTGGTCTCTACCTCCAAAAGAAAATCAGGAGAATGCTTTCAGCCCTTGCTTTCTCTCTCTACCATAAACCCTTTTCTCTGAAGGCCATTCTACTTCAACCTTCCCTCCCAATATATCCACTTTATACTATCCATGGATTCCTGTACTTTTTTTCCTGTGCCTTTGCTCACACTGTTCCCTCCATCATCTCCACATAAGCCACACTCATCCTTCAAGGTCCCAGCTCAGATTTCACCTTTTACCAAGGAGCTTCCCAGATTTCTCTATTAAAAATTCTCCCTCCCATGTGTTCTCAAGAGGGAAGGAAGAAAAGAGGATACATGAGTGTTTATTTAAACACTTGATCTATTTCAGGCATTTTGCATATGTTACTTAATCATATGAGGTAGATATTGCCCCATTTTACTTGTAAAGATAAGATTCTGAGAGTTTGAGCAGTCTGAATAAGGTCACTTTACTAAGTGGTGGTGCTGGGATTTGAAAGTAGACAGTCTGACTTCAGAGAACAACTTTCCATCCTACCACATTTGGTCTCCTATTAATTTACTAGTGTAAATTCACTCCTGGCATGGTGTTTTGCATATAGGAGCCTTTAAGTGTGACATCGAAATATCTTGCTTCCTCATTGTGTTTCTCCAGTACCTGTGACAGGATTCTCCCTGTCTTAATCATATAAGAATTGAGTAAGTGGGGGCTAGAGCTTTGCCTCCCAGATCCGCCGGCTCTGGTTCCACTCAGGTCTATTCACTCACCAGCTGTCAGGACCTGTACTTTCTACGGGTGAACGGTCAGGGCTCGCTGGTATGAATCAGTGAGATTTAGGGTTAGGGTTAGGGTTACATACCTGAAAGAATCAGGTATGGCTGCTTCCTGTAGTGTGGGTTTCCTGAATATAGTTAAGTGAAGGCTGCCAGCCTGACAAATCTGCCAGGGATCTTATAGTAGTTTCCACCACCCTCAGAAGGCTGTTGCACTATATTGACAAAATTTTAGAATGTTAAAGCTGAAAAGGGATTAAGAAATCACCTAATCTAGTGATTTCCAAACACTTTTAGTTGTGGATCCCTTTGTTTAAAAGTGGCTCTTTCTAGAAATATATTTAAGCCGAGGTAAAGAAAAACCTGTAGTGATACCTCCCCAAATCATCTCCTTGTAAACCCCTAACACTGAGGAGCCCAGTTTGAAAAACATAGTCTAACAGATGAGGAACCTTAAGTTCAAGTCTAGCGATGACCAAGGTTGTAGAGCCCACTAAGTTACAAAACCAGTACCAAGACCTTCTGAGGTTCTGGAATCCCGTGCTTTCCATGAAGGAGTCCTCTTTACACAGCATTTCTAAAGGCTACTGTGGACAAAGACTGAACTAGGTGCTACGAGGATGCCAAATACGAACAAGACCCATTTTCACCCATTCAGGAGCTCACAATCAAGGCTAGTGAAGACCCAGGGACACTGAAAAAATAACACGCACTTAACTATGGCTTATAGTTTCCAAGTTGATTTCCGAGACTGAGAAGGGCGTCAGCACCTTGGCCAGTTCCGGGGTGCGGGAGCAGTGAGGGTCTGTCCAGGTTGAAAAGCCCGGGCTTCGGGGAGAGAAGGGGCATGAAGACGCTAGAGGTCGGCCCCAGCTGGGGACTATGGCAGGCGGGGCACCGAGACCCGGCGCGGTCCACTTGGGAAAGGGGTTGCTCACAGACGGACAGCTGAGTGGTTCTCCACGAGTTATTTCGCTCAGTCCACTCCCACTCCAGCCTCGGCTGCCCGTGGGGTGGAAATCTTCGGGGGCAGCCGGGCGGAAGGGGCGGGGCTTGCGGCGGAAGTCCTTCCCAGGTCGGGTCACGTGGGAGGGGCAGGACGCAAACGCAGGTGAGTGCCGGGCGATTCTCCTTTCCTCGCTCAATTCGTTGCGTACCCGGAGCGTCCAAAGCGTATGTGACCGGTCCAGGCCCAGAGAGGGGCCACACTATTTCTGGTGTGGAGTTGGACTCAGGAAGGATGCGGGCTGGTTCCAACTAAAAGTGAATGTGGGGACCGACCAGGCTGTGGGTGAAAGCCAGAGCAAACCTGCCCTTCTGAGTGTCTCGGTACGGAAGTAGGCCCCCCAGGTGGCCCTGCTTCAGAGATGGGGTGGCGGGTGACTGTCACCGAGATTCCGCAGCCGCCTACAGCCTTCCTCTATTACCTGATTGCCTGAGGCGATCCCTGTGACAGGAAGCTGTCCAGGAAGCATCCCTCCTGAGGCCTCTCCCCTCTAGGGCATTTTGGAAGCGAGTCGGGAAGAGGGAGTGGACACAAGGGAAAGTCAAGTGTCTCTTTAATTGTGGGGAGGGGCAGTGGGGGTGACCCCCCCCTCCTCTTGGCTTGACAGGAATCATGGCACTCTGGCGGGCATACCAGCGAGCCCTGACCGTTCACCCGTGGAAGGTACAGGTCCTGACAGCTGGTGAGTGAATAGACCTGAGTGGGACCAGAGCCGGCTGACTGGGGAGGCAGAACCTCACCCCACCAAACCTCCCTCATTTTTTGCTTCTACTGAGCCCCCTTGAAAGGTTGGCTGTCTCTCATCCGAAGTTGTCCCCAGTCTTTTGGAGGGTGGGTCCCCAAGTTTGTTCCAAAGGGAAGGGTATACCTAGGTGTAAAGTAGGATCTGAAAGTCCTCAGAGAGCTGAGGAGTCATCCCTTCGGGTTAAAGGCATTCCCCCAGGAGGCCTTAACTTAGAAAGCTAACAATAGCAAACGCCCCTCTAACATCTTACAGTGTGCAGAATACTTTCAACACATTATCTCATAGGGTCCCCACAAAGATCTGTGAGCTAGGATCCCTTGAGTCCACATTAGATTACACACCTAGTAAGTGTTGGGATCAGGACTCTTACCCCAGTTTATTTTTCTTCATGTGTTTTTTTTTATCATGAAATAATAACATACAAAAGAATGGTTAAGACATGTGTGTACAGTTTAAATAGTATTAAAACTGATTACTCTTGTATCAGTACCCAGCTTGAGAACCCTTGAGCACCTATCCCTAACTCATACAAGCCAAGAAATAACTACTTTCCTGAGTTTTGTTTATACCACTCTTTTGCTTTTCTTACAGTTTTACTACCCATGTATGTATCCCCAAACAATACACTAATCAAGGATTTATGTTTACTCCAAATTCAGTGATTGGATAGCAACCTAACAAAGGTAATCCAGTGACTTACCTGCATTTGCTACCATCTTTATTTTTCACCTTAGCTAAGAAGTGAGGGGATGGCACAGAGATATGTAAGTTTTACAGGGGAGAGGACTAGAAGGTCTGTGACTGTTGGGGCAGTGAAGAGTGATCGGGTTAAGATGGGATCTTGCCTATGTTTAGAGGAAGGGAAGAGGATTCTAGGGTGGACCATGGACTTCTGAGAGGAAGACCGTTGAGAGGAGTGGCAGGCTATGGAAGCCAGGGAGGAACAGCAGGCCTCTTACTGGAACAGCCCCACTTCAGCACTAGAAACTTCACTGGGTGAAGCGCTAGAAACTTCACTGGGTGACTGGCCAAGGGATGGGTGATTTTGCCCTCCCTGGGCCCCTCTCCAACCTCCGTGCCCAACCACCCCATGTCCTGTCCTCAGAGTGTCCGTCAGCCTGCATGACTCACCTGGTTGCGTGTGTGGTGACTCATGCTGGACTGTGGGGCTGCGATGGGGACTGACACGCTGGGCCCTTTGCCAGCCTCAGACTCCCTCAGGGCCCTTCACTGCTGGAAGGATCCCCCTCATGGCCATCAAGAAGAGAGAGGGAGGGATAGTCCTTGTGTTTCCCTGCCCAAGGCGTGTGCGGGGGACAAGGGGAGGAGCTGTCCTTCAGAGGGGCCCTTGCACAGATATGTGGCCGAACTGGGGTGCTGGTCTGTCGGTGCCAGAGCCCACATCATCTCTGTGCGGCCCTGAAGCACTTTCTAGGTAGCACTTTTCTCAGACCTCTTCCCTGCTGCTAGTGTATTTGGATCAAACTACAAATAAAGGGAGAAGGTGGGTTTAGCTCTGTTTTTAGATCCTAGCACATTGCTTCCTCCGGCCCCCCTGGGATAGCTCCTCACACTGGAAGACCGAATAGAGATTTCAGACTTGGAGTTAGAAGAGCAGGATTCGAATTTCAGAGTCGTAGCCCCCAGTAGCTACCCAAAGAGAGACAAGTAAGTCAGTAAACCTCTTAGAGCCTCAGTTTCCTCGTTCAGGAGTTGAGTTGCGTTAGCTGACCTGACAGAGTCAGTGTGAGGGTTATCTCTGTGAAAAGGCTTTAGAAATAAAAAAATGCTTAATAGACAAAAAGGCTTCGGGGCTTGGCCCTTTCCATGAGTATTGTCAACCCACACACGACAAGCTGTTCTTTTTTTTTAGATTTATTTATTTATTTTTTAGAGAAAGAGAGCACACACAAGCCCACAAGGGGCAGAGGGAGAAGGAGAGAGAATCTCAAGCAGACTCCACGCTCAGCACAGAGTCCGATGCAAAGCTAGATCTCACGCCCTGAGATCACAGCCTGAGCTGAAACCAAGAGTCGGACACTTAACCGACTGTGCCCCCCAGGCGCCCCCAAGCTGTTCTTTTTCTAGTGGTGTTTTGGCTCCGTTTGTTCCATTTGCCTTAAATTTGAACATGGGTGACTCTCTCAGCCTTGGTTCTCTAACAGCAGAGCCTGGGGCTTTGGTGCAGGTACTTTGTAAGGGAGTAGGAAGTAATCCCATGGGGGAGGAGGGAGAGCCGGTATAAGGAAGGTCAGATTGCATACACTGCTTAAGGCACATGGCTGCCCCATCCCTTAAAACTGACTGAGAAGCTCTTTGAAATGCCTCTTAGGACTATAGGGGAGAATAGCCTTTTCTGGAGAAAAGAAACCTTTACCCAGCAGCTCTCATCCCACATTGGTCAAAGGTTTGCCACATGGGATGTCAACACCTGTGTGCAGTCCCCGGCTAAGGCATCAAGGGCGCAGCCCCGGGTATGACCCAGGCCTGAGGCAGGATTCATCAGGTTGAGCTGCAGTAGTGGCCAGAATAAGGGATAAGTGAATCAAGATCTGAAATGGTTCAAAAGAAGTGTCTGATATGCCTAGTGTTGACCAAGCTAAAGTCAGGAACAGAGCAGCCTGGGAAAAGGTCCACTGTGTGTTCTGCAGAGCCTGAGTCAGCCTTTTCCCGTCCTTTCTGGAGGGCCCTTCCAGTCTCCAGCGGGCCCCGGGCCCAGCTCCATCCATTTTTGGCCACTCTAGTCCTGCTATAGGGGGCAGCCGAGGGGCAGACACTGGTTTCCCTGGAGTCTGACTTCTGCCGGGATGTGAGAGCTCATCGGGCCCTGGAGCGTCCAGTCCAGCCCCGATACCATAGAGCAGGAGACTGCGGCAGGGGTGGGGGGGACGTGCACTGGGGTCCCCATGGTCAGCGGTAGGACTGGCCTTAGAACGGAGCACACTTCCCAGTGCTCTGCCCTGCACTCGAGACTACGGGGCCTTCGAAAGCTGAGTGTAGCCCCCGTTGGTCTGGGCTGACATACCTGACAAGCTGTAGAGCCCTCCGTTTTGTCTCATTTTCTAGCAGTAGGACAGCTTCGGGCCAGGAATGGGGAGAGCATTCGGAGCAGTCCCAGAGGATGCACTCTCCCCCTCTCTGCTAGGCTTCAGTTGCCTCTGGGGTCTGTCAGAGCCAGCCCCCAGCCCAGGCAGCCTTTTAACTGTGCAGACTTCTGGGGAGGAGTGAGTCAGCAGCACCGCTGGCCCCATGCCAGTAGCTGTACCTGTCACCCCAGGCCTCTGACTCTCAAGGACACACTTCCTGCTCCCCATTCCACCTTGCTGCCCCTCAACCTTTTTTTTTTTTTTTTTTGGCAGACACAGCGAGAGCAGGAACACAAGCAGGGGGAGTGGGAGAGGGAGAAGCAGGCTTCCCGCTGAGCAGGGAGCCCGATGCGGGGCTCGATCCCAGGACCCTGGGACCATGACCCAAGCCGAAGGCAGCCGCCTAATGACTGAGCCACCCAGGCGCCCCTTATTTTGCGCTTATTTATAATTATGAAACTTAGGTTAAGACAACATAAATTTTTTTTTTTAAAGATTTTTTTATTTATTTGACAGAGAGCAAGAGAGGGAACACAAGCTAGGGGAGTGGCAGAGGGAGAAACAGGCTTCCCGCCGAGCAGGGAGCCCGATGCGGGGCTCGATCCCAGGACCCTGGGATCATGACCTGAGCCGAAGGCAGACACTTAATGACTGAGCCACCCAGGCGCCCCAGCCCCTCAACCTTCTCATCTTCCATTAGCACTTTATTTTCTTGCAACTACGACCCCATACACAAAAGCCAGGAGAGGAACAAAATAGGAGAAGTAGGGAACTAGGAAGACGGTGTGGAAGTTGGGGCTTTTCCACTAGCGGGCAGGGGGTGGTCCCAAATAGATCAGTGCTTAGGCAGCCTGCCCCCCACCCCCTCACTCTGCTGAATCCGGTGGTGAGTGACGGCATGAGAACTGGCACCTACCCAAGGGCATGATGTCACACCTGCGCCAGCGTCTGCCTGCTGGGCTCCACGCCCAGCCTGGCATTGGGCATCACTGCCCGGCAGCCCCTCACCCTGCCCCATCAGGGCTCGGGCATTACGTCTCCGCAGGTCTCTGGCTCCAACCCCCTGGAAACAAGGCTGAGGCAAGGGGAGCCAGAGCACTGAAAGATCTAGACCAACCATATATGTCAGGAGGACTCAGTTGGGGCCTGTTTGGGCTCTGGCATTGGGGAAGGTAGAGTGAGGAATCTGAATGTCAGCTCTTCTTGCTCGAACTCAACTTGGGCCAGAGATGCGGGCCTGCTCTGTGCTCAGACCAAAGCCTTCAACCGCCCTGGAGGTGCTGCAGGCCCAGCGCCCCGATGATCTATGGGCAGAGGAGGAACCGCGGGGCACGGCTCTGTCTGAAATGGGCAGGGCCCGTGGGGGCTCCAGAGCTACAAGCCCACTCCCTCTCACTGCTGCCCTTCTGCCTGATGAGCATGGTCTGGGGTCCTGGAGTCCGTCTTTCTCAAAGGCTGCTGGCTCCCCGGACTGTGGTTATCATTCCTGCTCTGTCTTCAGCTTGTTGGGTGACTGTTGGCAAGCCACAAAGAGTGAAAACACACACCTCCCTCTCTTTGTGACTGTTGTGACCTAGGAATATTGCTTGCTTGCCCTCCCCACAAAGTGACAAGGAACAGAGAGGGTCACCTCCTGGGCAGCAAAAGACAGGAAGTGCATTAGTCCAAGAAGTGTCTTTGACGCATGGCCTTTGGGGCCTTGTTTGGGCAGGAACGTCCTGCAAATAGAAGCCAGAGGCCTCTTGGTGCCCCTGACCCCTGCGCCCAAGTCTCCGCCCCTTCTGTGGTTCCCGAGCCTCCTGCCCCTGCTTGAGAGAAGGCCTGGGTTCGGCCCCACTCTACTCCTTACCAAGTAACTTCATCTCTCAAAGACATTAAATGGAAGTGTGACCCTACCTCCCAGACCTTTCTTTTTTTTTTTTTTCAAGATTTCATTTATTTATTCATGAGAGACAGAGAGAGAGAGAGAGAGAAGCAGGCTCCCAAGGAGCAGGGAGCGCGATGCGGAACTCGATCCCAGGACCCTGTGATCATGACCTGAGCCGAAGGCAGATGCTTAACCATCTGAGCCACCCAGGCGCCCCCTCCCAGACCTTTCATGAGGATTACATGTGTGAGAGCCATTTGTAAGCTGTAAACATTTTGCCAAAGTAGAGTGTCAAACTGTTAGGTCTCTTCATTTAAGAAGCGGCTGCCTTCTGTTCCGCCCTCTGCGGGCCTTCTCCAGGTACCCTTGCCTTTATGCATGGCCACGGCAGCAGGCCCTCCCTGGGGGAGGTGAGGCAGGAGGTAGGGAGATGAGTGCCGACGGCGTGGAGCAGGGAGCAAGTCTCCACTTCCACAGGTCCCCACACCTTGAGCCTGACACGTGGGCCTGTGGGCTACTCACGCCCTTCCTGGAGTGGGCCTGTTGTTTGGGGCAGTACATTTGACATTTTTCCTTGGTTGGTTTTCTGAGCACCTGCCAGGCCCTTGGTTAGGTGTGGCGGGGGATAAGAGAACAAAGATGTCTAGGATTGGGACGCCTGAGTGGCTCAGTCGGTTGGGCGTCTGCCTTCGGCTCAGGTCATGATTCCAGGGTCCTGGGATCGAGCCCCGCATCGGGCCCCCTGCTCAGCGGGGAGTCTGCTTCTCCCTCTGCCCTGCCGCTCCCCCTGCTTGTGCTCTCTCTCTCTCTCAAAAAAAAAAAAAAGATGTCTAGGATTCTGTCCTTACCCTCTGGGAGGTTGTGGTTAGCACATTCTGGGAAGAGCCTCCAGCACTTTGAGAGTTTCAGGGAGAGGAGAGTCCGGACTGCCATGATGGGTGCCTCTGGGGCCAGCAGCCTGGCTCCCCCGTGGCCCCAGCCTTCCCCAGCTGCCTTGGATGCGGCTCCTCGGGGACAGGGCTTTGCGGAGGGTGTGGGGGAAGAGCAGTGAGTGTGCAGCCAGCATGGACGTCAGAGCCAGCTCTGTACCAAGGACTAGGGTTAAAGGATGTGTTTGCCCAGTGCTAATTGAGGGCACAGGGACAGTGGTGGCTGTGGGGCTGGAGAGGGGCTCTCATTACTCAGTGAGACAGACAGGCGAGCCGGAGATCATCTGGTCACTCCCAAGTGACCCTGTGTGTGTGTGTTTGCTGGAAACCATCACACCACTGTAACTGACAGGGGGCTCTGTAAATAGTGACTGTTTCTATCTTGGTTTCTGGGTGTGGGTGTCTGACTAGGGTTGCTTGGGACGGAGTGTCTATGAGTGAGGGAAGGGAAGCGGGTACAAAGACCTGGGGGCTGGGGATGGGAAATGGCTATAATATCTATCGTTCGCTCTGTCTGAGGTTGTGAATGTGGGGGGGGGGGAGTCTGGGTTTACCTGATTGTGCTAGGAGGTGACCAGGACTCCTCCTTGTGGGGACTCTTACTGGTTCAACCAGTCATCTTCCTGCCTGGGACCATGTAAGCACTCGTGTTTTAGAAGAAGAAGAATTCTTGCTGTCCTTCACAAAGAGAGACCCCAAGACCAAGGTGAAGGACACTTTCCAGGGTCTTGCCTGGGACTGGGGGAAAAACCCCAGGGTTCCTTACCATTCTACACATGATCTTTTTACAGTATGGGTCCTGGAAAAATCACTGTGTAGGAAATCAAGCCACCTGGTTCTTGCCATGATTCTGCCACTTACTGGTTATGTGAGGTCCCAGACCTTCATTTCTATACCTCGAAAATAAGGAGTTTGGATAGAATTATCTGGAAGGCTTTTCCAATTCTGATAGTCCATGGTTCTCAGCCCCAAGCACCTTAGATTCTCCTTTATCTGCAGTCTCTGCCTGTGACTTCTCTTTAGGACTCTGTGCAGAGTCTGTGGGCCCCAGCCTCATCAAGGCTGCCCCTCCCAGTTTCTAACAGGATGCTTTGAAGCAGCAGTAAAGGACTGGCCATTTGCCCCAGAATTAATCTCTTAGGCTCCAAGTGTCAGAGCCTCATTCAGGGACTTCCTTCCCTCCCTGGAATGGCAGCCCATCTCCAGGAGGTATCCTGACAACACCCGTGTCCCCTGCGCAGGGTCCCTGATGGGCCTGGGTGACACTATCTCACAGCAGCTGGTGGAGAAGCGAGGTCTGCGGGGACACCAGGCTGGCCGGACCCTGATCATGGTCTCCGTGGGCTGTGGCTTTGTGGTAAGTTCCATCCACAGCCGGGCTGCTGGAGGACTGGACGGTGGTCCTAGTTCCATGTCATTCTTTAGTTTCCCTTGGCCTCTCGTACGTCTAAGCCAACCTCAAGTGTCTGCTTCCACTGGGATTTGGTTTCTAATCCTTGAGAGAAGAGCTTTGTGATGCAAAAGGCAAGCGCTCCCCTCACCGCACACCCTCTGTCCTCCCTGGGGTTTCCTTTCAGGGCCCTGTAGTAGGAGGCTGGTACAGGGTTTTGGACCGCCTCTTCCCCGGCACCACCAAGGTAGATGCACTAAAGAAGATGCTGTTGGATCAGGTGAGCAGAAGGAAAAGGGACTCGGGAAGCATGAGCTGTGCTGGGGGAGGGCGGGGGTTTAGGTGCTCACAGAACTTTAATTTCTCTCCCCTAGGGGGGCTTTGCGCCATGTTTTCTGGGCTGTTTCCTCCCACTGGTAGGAGCACTCAATGGCCTCTCAGCCCAAGACAACTGGGCCAAGCTACGGCGGGTGAGCTGGGCAGGTGGGGGCGGTCTCCGGCTGGCGCCCGGCAGCCCCAGGGCAGTGAGGCCGGCTTCGTGGGGAGGAGCCAGGTGGGATGCAGCCAGAGCCCCAGGCGGGGAGAAGAGGAGCTGGGGGGGTGGGGGCTGTGGTCGGAGTCTGGTCTTTGAACAGCCGCTGTGTCGGGGGCGTGCTCTGCAAGCTGGCAGGTGGGCGCTGCGTGGAAGTGAGTGCTCGTGTCAGTTTGTCCCTTTTGTCTCCTCAGGACTATCCTGACGCCCTTGTCACCAACTACTACGTAAGCGCTGATGCCGCAGCTGCCTGTTCTCCTGCTTTCTTGAGTCTGGAAGTGCCCAGGGACGGGGGTCCTCCCGCCAGAGAAGCCCCTCAGTTGGGGTGACTCTCTCGTCCCCAGTGTGGGCACCATACTGAGGGAAGCACTCACCCAGTCGTTCGCCTTGTTCTTGTCTGCAGAAGCTGGAGGAAGACCAGTGAGTCTGGGGGTCGGCGAGGGAGGCAGCCCCCCAACCTTAACCTTCTTTCTCTTGTAGCTCTGGCCTGCTGTGCAGTTAGCCAACTTCTACCTGGTCCCCCTTCATTACAGGTAAGACACTTCCTCACCCCACCCTCCAAGGAAGGTGCACGTCACAAACAGCTGGACACAAAGTGATGCTCCTTTCAACCTTGAATCACTTTTGACCCTCCCAGAACCCCGCCCTGAGCAGAGTTCCTCAGACTCTTGAGCATTCTTTTCAGAACTTATCCTTTAGAGAACCTGTCCCAGAACCTGCCCACTGACCTTTCATCTTCCTGAAGAGGCTCCTGCTCACAGCCCCGTCTCCATCCTGCCTGAGCTCTCACCTTTGACGGCAGAGCTGCAGGGACAGTGCCTGGGGGGCAACAGTCTAGGCAGGACAGGAAGGCAGGCGAAAGAGCCAAGGAGGAACCTAGGCCCGTTAGTCCACTGCGGAGTACTGTTCTACCTTAATAATAAAGGTAGTTGCTGAAACCACAGTAGAAAATATAGTGGAACTCAAGATGAGTAGGTAAAATTGCTGGGGGTGAAGGGGCATTGGGAACAGGGAAAAATATGAAACTCTTCTGAGGGGACTCTGAAGAGCATAGCTTAAAGGAAGACTTGTGGACCAGCTCCTCAACACTAGGGTCCCTGCGATACTCTTTGAAATTAGAGAAAGGTAAATTGACAATAAAGAGAAGGAGGTACTACGTTTCATGGCAGGCAGGACGTTTTTGGGAGATAAAATCTCTTCAGCTGGTAAAGATGCACAGAGACGTGTGTTCGGAAGGAGCCTGCACAGGCGTGAATAAGGGCCACCCTTGGCGAGATGAGCATGTTCCGCTCTGAGGCTCTTGTCCCAGAGACAGAGCTCGGGCAGCGCCAGAACCCGGCCTGCTTGTCCTCTGGTCCGAGCCGCCCGTCCCTCCCTCAGGGCTGAAGGAAGGAGACCTCGGTATGGACATTCTCGGGGACAAGCCCTCTTTTTCCGTAGCACTTGTCCAGCTTCCCCTCCCCCCATGCTTTCTCCTCATTCTCCATCGTCCTCACGCCGCCACCGCTGCCCCTGTTCCATAGGTTGGCTGTTGTCCAGTGTGTCGCGGTCATCTGGAACTCCTACCTGTCGTGGAAGGCCCACTGGCTCTAGGCCGGCCTCACCCTGGTGTCTACGTGGGCGGCGCTGCAGCCTGACCCCAGCGCGGTCCCATGGCCTCCCTGAAGTGGGCACGTCGCTTTTCCTGGGGTTCCGTGGCCACTCAGAACTTAATGGGCTGAGCGCCTGACTCCTTTTGAAATCATTACAACCTTTATAATGGTCTCATCCCACCACATGGTAGGCGCTCCATAAGTACGTACGGCCTCGTCCACTGCAGCTCACACCCGTATCCCCCACTCTTCACAGCTACATCTGCTCTCTAACCTTCCCAGCCCAGCTGGAGCTCCGGCTCTTTGGGGGCCCCAAATCCTTATATGGGGCCTCCACAGATCTGTTACGTATGTATGTAGTCTGAAACCTGCAGAGCTGATGCGGAGGGCCCAGCAGAAACCTGTGGGGCAGTCAGAATTTCTAGAGTCGGAAAGAAGTCTAGAAACAACCAGTCCTGATCTTCTCCTGCAGATGAGCACACTGAAGAAGTCCACACAAGTGAGGTGACCTGCCCACACCACCGACCAGTGGCAGAGTGGAAACTGGAACTCATGTGCTATCGATGAATGTTGGCGTCCCCACCAGAATTCATCTGTTGAAAACCTAATGCCCACGGTGATGGCATTAGGCGGTGGGGGCCTTTGGAGATGATTAGGTCATGAGGGATTCGTGCCCTTTTAAAACAGCCCCAGACACGGGGCACCTGGGTGGCTCAGTCGTTAAGCGTCTGCCTTCGGCTCAGGTCATGATCCCAGGGTCCTGGGATCGAGCCCCACGTCGGGCTCCCTGCTCTGCGGGAAGCCTGCTTCTCCCTCTCCCACTCCCCCTGCTTGTGTTCCTGCTCTCACTATGTCTCTCTCTGTCAAATAAATAAATA